TTTTTAAAGTTTTTCATGCTTACAGCCGAAGTTCCAAAAAGTTAATTATTGATATGTAAATTCTTCACATTTGAGTTATCCTAGCTAGCATGCATATATTATTATCGTAAGAGTTTAAATTTTGTGCACTAACAATATATTATAGTTTTGAGCCATCACGTTGAGTTACCTGAGGTAACTGATTATAACAAATATAATTTGATAACGTGGAAAAATAAAATTTAAAAACTTGCTATTAAAAGTTGAATTCCAGTGACAATGTAAAGTTTTGTATTTTACATCATTTGTATTGATAACTTTAGCGCTTTCTGAATAAAAACCTACATGCATTCACGTTTCGAAACTTAAAATAATTCAAATTTATATATATATGAAATAGTCTTGTTTTAGAAATCGAGTAGCTATCATGATTCGAAAAAGTAAAAATGAAAAGCCTAATATATTTGACATTAGGCTAAAGACGTGCCTAATATAATGCGTTGCACATACTTAGCTTAAAAAGTTTAATTACTCTTTGAAATTTAGAATTTCTTCCAGCATATATTCAATATTTTTTTTTATTCTTCCAACTTCTGATCAGATTAACGAAAAAGAAATGGAAATATTTGAGGCAACTGAAGATAATTATGGAGGAGTTACTGTTAACATGAAGAGGGAGGAACTTATTGATTCTCATAAATTCCATACTATGCTGATGACTTCCATATCCCATTGGAGGCAAAAGGTATGTATGCTTGTTATTTATACATTTATAGGTCACGGGTTCGAGTCGTGAGAGCAGTCACTAATGCATGTATTAGGGTAGATTGTGTATATCACACCCCTTGGAGTCAGAGGCGAATGCAGTATTTAAGCTATGGGTTCAATCCTGAAGAATTTTTGCCATGAAACCATTGTATTTTTAAAATTATGGGTTCAAACCTACTAATTTAGTACAATTTTAGTGAATTTTTATACATAAATTTATGCTTCGCGCGCGTCGGAAGTATTGGGTTCAGTTGAACCCGGTATAACCACTCTGCATCCACCTTTGCTTGGGGTGCAGCCCTTCCCCGAGCCTTGCGTGAATGCGGGATGCTTCGTGCAGTTGGCTGCCAGCTGTTAATAAGATAGATCTTAGTTAGTTCATATACTTACGATAAATGTTAGTCTATTAAGGAATTTGAAATTATAAAAAGATAGATCATAGGTAATAATACATTCTTTTTGTTTTCTTCATTTTGATATGTTCAGGGAAAGAAGGCTGTATGGATCAAGTTGCCAATAGAACTTGCTCATCTCGTTGAAGCAGCAGTTAAGGTAAAATATACATATATACTCCACTAACACAGACTACTTTTCACTAGATTTTAATAAGTGAACTGCTATTATTGAGAACATATATTATAACATAACATAAAAATTAGTTCCATAAAAATTTGACTTTTATATTGAATGATTGTTATATAACTGTATTGTTATAGAAAAATACAACGGTATGTAGTTATATAAATAATTAAGTGGTGTCTTTAATTATATTGTAGGAGGAATTTTGGTATCATCATGCAGAGGCAACATATTTGATGCTTGTGTATTGGATTCCAGAAACACCTCAAACTTTACCTGCTAATGCTTCTCATCGTGTTGGTATTGGTGCTCTCGTCCTCAACAATAATGGACAGGTCCATATAACACGTTCTTTTTCTTGTGAATTATTGTTGGTACTTGGTATAAAGAATTTTTAACTTCATAAAACTACTCTTACATTATTAGGTCACTTGAAATAAAATTATAGTATCTGTTTGCAACTAAATTTAAACATATGAATAATAAACTGCAATCACAAAATAAGAGAAAAATATTTTTACTAATCAATAGTGAGTACAATTATGTTTCTCCCTTGATTCTTCTCTCCTGATTATCTCCGTGATTCGAGGGTTGAAGCCGCGTATTTCTCGAATGTAGTATGATGCAAATTTCCTGGGGATATATATGATTTCCAGTTTCTTGAACTATTTGATTGTCAAGAAGTATGCGGCCATATTTGGGGATATATTTGATCTCCAGATTCTTGAACTATTTGATTGTCAAGAAGTATCCAGCCATATTTTGATCGCTTTGTGAATATCCCAAGAGTTTATGGGATTTTGAGACACTTCTTCAAGGAAATGTGTATCCATTTATATATGTGTGAGTTAGGGTTTAGGGTAGAGCAACCTCCAAGAAACCCTAATAGACTCCTAGGATTTCAAGAGTCCCTGTAATATCTTTAATTAAGGATTTGGCTTGATCCCTTAAAATTTCGATGCCCACAGTGTCACATAAAAAGTGGAATGTATAATCTAAAAAATAAGGCATATTACTTACTATAGTAATTAAGATATAATAACATATACTGTTAGTGTAAAAATCAATTGTGCGAGTAGTTATTTCCATATGTCTAATTGAAGAAGTTAAAACTAAAGAACTTATTCGACTTGGCAGGTGTTAGTAGTTAAAGAAAAATCTGGAAAAAGCACTGGAATTTGGAAACTGCCTACTGGAGTTGTTGAAGAGGTTAACATTTTGTATCTTTCATTTCTATCAAATAATATTTTCATTCCATCTCTTATAATAGTAGTTATATATATTTTTTATTGTAATTTGTCAATATTCCAAAACGTAAAGGGAGATTCCGAAGAGAGTATCAGCCTATTTTTTAAATAAAAAAGAAATAATTGGAGGAATAACTTTTTCTTTTTTTTCCTGAAAGAAGCCAGTGCGTTTAGGGAATCAGCCTTTTGGAAGGAGAAAATAAATTGCTAATTGGGAGAATAAAATAAACTTTTTTAAGGAAAAGACTGCATATATGTTTGGAGAATTTCATATTTTTAATAACAATTTGCTTTCTCAAGTTTCATAATCAATAATCGTAAAAATGTATTGCACTCGACTGATCGATGTTTATCTCCTTAAAAGTTTGAACTAAAGTATATCTCATATTGTTTTCTTTTTGCCAAGTATTTTGTAAAAGATCCATCCTCGCACAACTAGTAAATGTCACAAGTCAAACATTCTTTGATTAAATATTTTGACCTAGGTCAATGTGTTAGTTATCATCAGAATTCAGAACAATAGGTTTTGAAATTAACCTTGTGGTATATTGTATATATACAAAATGCTCTATAGTATTATTATTTAGTTAATAATATACGTAAGTATAATTTATGGAATTCTTTCACATATAGGGTGAGGATATATGCATGGCAGCCATTAGAGAAGTACAAGAAGAGACAGGAGTAAGTTGGTACATCTAAATCATTTAATTTGATGAACAGAAAAAAAAAAAAAGTAGACAAATTAATTTCCCTTAAATCTAGAGCAGTGAAACTCACAAATATTTCTTTTTCTTCTTCTTTTTAGATTGAGACAGAATTTATTGAAATCCTCGCTTTCAGGTAAGAACGATTTCATCCTTTTGGCCATCAACAAATTGTAAAATTTCAAGAAGAAAAACAAAAAAGAAAATGTAAAGACAACAAAGAAATAACAATATTCACAAGAAAACCCTAGGGGTGGCCGAGTTGGTTGAGTAGGGACTTCCCGAATAGGAGATCTAGGGTTCGAAATCCACTTGCATATCTTTTTAATCGAGCCAATTGCACGATGCTTGCCTAGTGCGTGCGATTTACCTTTCTGTATAGTTTGCAGTCTATTACATAAGAGCGGGGTTTACCCTGTGCTCACCAGAAGGGTAGCGGCTACGGATCCTTGATAACAAAAAAATTATATTCATAAGAAAAAGTAAGGTCTAAAAAGCAATAAATTACAAACACATCTTTCCAGGATAAGTTTTCTACAACACATGATTATATATATGTCCTAATTAATCTTGTTCTTCCAAAATAATTCAGCAGCTGAAATTTTTAAATTTTTGTTCACTACAGACAAAGTCACAAATCATTCTTTGGAAAGTCGGATTTGTTCTTCATATGCATTCTAAAACCCCTTAATTTTACTATCCGCAAGCAAAATGCTGAGATTGAGGAAGCTCAGGTATGTCAAAAATAACCACTTTGCATTTCAGTTATACTTTACATATTGATGAAGCTCAGGTATGTCAAAAATAACCTCTTTTATTGATCTTTTTGCAGTGGATGGCAATAGAAGAATATGCAGCTCAACCAAAGTTGAACAAAAGTGAACTCTCCAAAAACATTGCCAAGATATGTCTAGCTAAAAAAGACAATGAATACACTGGATTCTCTGCTGTTATTACAACTACAGGACTTTCTGCTAAGAACTGTTATTTGTACTGTAATATATGATCATTAAAATTAATTAAATACGTACTCTTTTATGCATATGTTTGCAATAAAGTTGTGAATTTCCAGTTTACAGTGTATGAAATAATATTTGCAAGAAAATCAAAACATATCTTAAAAAGAAATAAAATAAGAATTGGATTGTTCTATTGTGTACTTTATTACGAACTCCTTAATTCAATGATTCTGGAGATTTAAATTTTTAATTTTTTTCTTTAAATTCTACTTCATATTTCTACTAATTTTTAGTTTTTATTAGATGTTTCTCAAGCACAAATTTTATAAGCTTTTGTCTGTCATAGTGGGATATCTTTGAACAATTAATTCCACCATGTTCTTTTCAAAATTATACATTGCTTTGTAGGTGCATGTGTATTTTGGAAAAAAAAAAATACTTTGTTTGATTTTGGCAGTACAATTTCCGACCTTCATGATTTTGACTTTAATAAAAAAGAAAAGAGAATGTTTCTACAATTTTGCTTCATCTCTTGAGTGAAGTTGCGGGCCTATAGTTTTTCAATTGGAAATGGGTTTTAAATGCCCCTAAAGTATTGGAAAAGGTTTAAATATACTCTTCATCCATCTATTGGGCTAAAAATACCCCTCGATCCACCTTTTTGGTTCACTTATGCCTTTGACCGTTAGGGCAATGCTGAATTAAACATAACTATTATCTTTTTGAAACTTTAAAAAATATTTGNNNTTTTAAACTAATGCACCAGTAGTCAACTAATTTAGTAAAGTCGTCTTCTTTTTCTTCTTCTTCTTTTTTTTTTCTTCAGTTTTTACAATAAACAATTTAACTTTTACAAAAAAACTATTTTTTTCCAGTTTTTTTAAAGCATTTTTTTTTCTAAAAAACTGAAAAAAAATTGTAAAAACAGAAAAAAAAATGTTTTTGATAAAATATTTTTGTTTTTGAAAAATATTTTTTGTTTTCATTTTTTTCAGTTTTTTTAAAAAAACGAAAATATTTTCTTTTAAAAAAAACTGGAAAACGAAAATAAAACGAAATGTTTTAAAAAAGTGAAAAAAAATATTTTTCAAAAATGAAAATATTTTGTTGAAAATATTTTTTTAAGTTTTTATAAACGAAAATATTTTATTATTTTTTTTTCTATTTTTACAATTTTTTTTTCTAGTTTTTACAAAAGAAAAAAATGAAAAAAACTGAAAAAAATGAAAAAAAAAAAATACTTTTTTGTAAAAACTGAATTGTTTTTGTAAAACTGAAAAAAATAAGTAAAAATACTTTATTAAATTAGTGTACTATTGGTGCATTAGTTTAAAAAACGAAAATATTTTGCAAAATATTTTTTTAAGCTTTACAAAAAGAATAATAATTATTTTTATTTTAGCATTGACCTAACGGTCAAAGGACATAAGTGAACCAAAAAAGTGGATGAAGGGATATTTTTAGCCCAATAGGTGAATAAAGGGTACTATTTTTAAACTTTTTGCAATTGTTTAGGGGTATTTTGAACCCTTTTCCGTTTTTCAATTGGCATCAACAACTTAAAACCATATAAGATGGTTAAAGGAAGAGGGTAAATTGTCACTCTCGAGACATTTTGGTGACTATATTGTGGAGCATCAAAGCTGAATATTCCCAAGAAAAATAAGAATTATAGTGTCTTCAATGCTCCACGAGTTGTATGATTTGTACAAAAAAAAATTCCTTTTCGGTTGTATAAAATTTCATAATGCTTTTCTATTTCTTTTAATCTTTAATTATTCATCATGTATTTCTACCTGTAGGCTCGTGCTGATGGGATATATGAGCCATTTGCACGGCATAAACAAATTGTTTTTGAGAAAACTATGCATGAAAAATGTTGTTTGGTCAATTATATTGCAGTTTTAATTTCCTTTCACCCCTATTTTTGTAAGAATAAATAAACCTTTGATTTCGTACATATAATATATTTTCAGAGTGGAGTACACTGTACAATATACATATAGGACGAGAATTAGGCTTCGTTTTTCTTGATGTTGTTGATCTAGGCTAGGTCAAAGTGGCATTAACTTTTATTTTGATACTTTTTTTAATTTTATATTAGGACCTAACCTTCATGCATGATCTAATTTTAGTGTATTCACACAAGGATGTAAGGTCTATGGCATGGTACGGTGAAGCTAGCTCCAATTTACAAGTTCTTCTGGATTTTCAAGACCGAGTCAAAATCTAATTAAAATTTGGTACTAGGGGTGTGGCATGGATTTCAAGTTCACATTGCATCTCCAAGATGTTTCTTTTGCAATTTTATTGCATGACCTATCTCAAGGCCATGACCATATAAATTTTATTTTTAGACTTCATATTTAATCATTAACCAAGCGATGTCAAGAGGAAGAATTGTTCTTCTCCATTTCATTTAGTAACACACTTAATTGATTACACTTAATTGATTAGTAAGGCTTGATTTTGCTTAGCAAAAGTAATGATATTAACTATTTGATCATATCCTGACTTCACTTCATAACCACGCGAAGCGCGGCATATATTCACTAGTTTGATGATATAATTATGCGTGGCAGTGTAACCATATTTACATGTGGTAAATAAGACACTGACTAGTAGTGATCTCTAGCAAGATCACTTCTGTCTTAGCCCATTAAATTAATTAGCTGTTGTGGTTTCCTTTTAATTCTCTTTTTTGGTTTATTTGTGGGAAATCCATGCAAATATAGTTAATGCTTTTGGCATAAATTACTATAATTTGCCGTATTCGCTACGTATGTCATGATTTTGTGTTAGGATCAAAGATATATACGTCAAAAAGCAGTCTGGTGCACAAAGCACCCCGCATATAAGCAGGGCTCAAGAAAGAGCCGCACCTCAAGAGGTATAATGTAGACAGCCTACACCTAATGCAAACATTAGTGACTACTTTCGCGGCTTGAACCCGTGACTTATAGTTCACACACACACATATGTATATTGACTATTTGTCCAGTCCACGTGTCACGCCACGTCATCTTCAATATATATTCAACTTTTTCCCAATACAATAATGTTTACTGAAAATGACAAGCCTATAGCTAGACAATATTTTCTTCCTAACAATATATATAAAAAGTTGAATATATATTGAAGATGACGTGGCGTGACACGTGGACTGGACAAATAGTCAAAGTATAGCAATTAAGAAAAAGGTACGGAAGATGACAGGTACGAGAAGAGGAAGTGAAACAGGCACGAGAAGCAGTTTAGATACGAGTCTCGTATCAATTCGAGTCATTTAAAGCCAATGGATCAAAAGGCATTGAAAACATGGATCTGAAGACAAAAAGGAGTCCAAATTCAGTATTAAATACCTGATACGTTAGAAAATTGGTATTTAATAGGAATGATTGTGTAACGGCTCATTTAATATCATTTATTGTCCATAATTGTCTCATTAAAGCTTAGGTTTCATTCCTTTATCTAGAATCAACTATAAAAGGAGGAAGTTGTATTGGGAAAAGATTATTGTTGACATCATACTGAAATAAAAACTTGTTCGCTGCTTTATTATTATTCTCAGAAAGCCTATTATTCTTTTTTGGTCTCTTGATTATCAGTAACCCGATTTTTCATCTCAAATTCTAGTTTTAACCGAAATTATATTTTTTGGTTAAACAAATTGGTTCCGTTACCGGGAATCTGATAATCTATTCTTTTTAAGTTACATTCTATCTGTTGTTATCATCATGTCACACGACAATAATAACAGTAAAAACACCTTGGGAAACCGTGAAAATCAAATGCATCAAGATCAAGGAGATTTGCAGAACTTTAACGTGATCCCTTCTCTTCAAAATTCACCACGTCAATCTCGTGAAGGCACTCCTAAATCACATGCTGATGAGCAAGAGCAATCAGAACATTTTGAGGGACCAGAAGAAGCTCTGCAAAGAATAATTGATGCACGGGTTAGCCAAGCTCTTCAGGCGCTAGTTAGCCGGTTACCTGCTGCGCCGTCCACACCTTCGCCTAATAACAATACACTGGAGAATCCTCGTTCTGGCCTTGTTAATTCAAACGAAGGAACCCCCATTGAACCACGAGAAATGAATCCAGATTCTTTCATTAAGGCGCACTCAGGAGCACAAAAGGTTGAAAAAAGAATGGAGGACATCTTTAAAATCAAACAAGGGGATACAGAGTTGCTCAGAGATTTTGTTGATAGGTTCCAACGTGAACGAATGACTTTACCCCGTGTACCAGATAATTGGGCTGCAATAGCTTTTGCGAGCAATCTAAATGTTAAAAGTTCTGAAGCCACGAGAAGACTTAAGGAAAGCCTTCGAGAGTTCCCTGCAACCACGTGGAATGATGTGTATAACAGGTACAGTACGAAGTCGCGAATCGAAGAAGATACCATGCCTCGATTTCAACATGAAGAAAGAAGCAGTTCAAGGAGATCTGAAACTGAAAAAAGATCAGGTAAAAACAGGTACGATCCTTATATGGGTCCTGCAGGAAAAGATTCACGAACAAAACAGGATAATCAACGATATGATCAAAAATCAAGGAACAGGGAATCAGGCTCCTCATCAAGGTTTGCGAATGATCGAAACATACGCGGGGCACGAGATGATGATGGAAGTTTGAAGGCGAGATTTGGTGGATATAATTTCAATGTCACTACCTCCGAGCTCGTAGCTGTTTTAAGGAGCATGGGAGATAAGGTACGTGGCCGAAGGAGATGCGATCAAATCCAAACAAGCGCAATCCAGATCATTGGTGCGAATTTCATAATGATCACGGGCATAAGACTTCAGAATGTAGATTCTTACAAAGTGAAGTGGACCATCTATTGAAACAAGGTTATCTCACTGAGTTGTTTAGCGAGAAAGGAAAGCAAACCTACATGAAAAACAGGCAAGAGCCACCAAAGCTCCCATCACCCAAGAGAACCGTGAATGTTATAAGTGGGGGAGAAGATATTTATGGAGTAACATACACAGCTTCAAATAAAGTTTCCAAAGTCACAATCACGCACGGGAAACGAGTGCGTCAAACCTTAGAGGATGAAAGTATCACTTTTAATGATGCAGACACAGAAGGAGTGATCACCCCCCACAACGACGCGCTGGTAATATCTTTACTTGTACATG